TCCAAATTGGCATGCTGCTATGTGTGATGAATATAATGCTTTGATCAAGAATGACACATGGGAATTAGTACCCCCCTCCCCCACACAAAACATCATCACCGGTAAATGGCTCTTCCGACACAAACTTGGTCCTACAGGTGAGTTAACCAGGTACAAAGCCCGATGGGTTGTTCGCGGTTTTAATCAGCGTTTTGGGGTCGACTACGGTGAAACGTTCAGCCTTGTTATTAAGCCTGCCACTATCCGCATCGTCCTTAGCCTCGCCCTGTCTCGGGGTTGGCCCATTCATCAGCTCGATGTAAAAAATGCATTCCTCCATGGTCAGCTTCAGGAAACCGTGTATGCCAGCCAGCCTTCTGGATTCCAGGATGCCAATCGCCCTCATCATGTCTGTAAGCTCAAAAAGGCCCTTTACGGCCTCAAGCAGGCTCCTCGATCATGGTATCACAGATTTGCAGGTTTCATTCAACCTATTGGGTTCCACGGGTGCAAATCTGACACATCCCTATTCGTCTTCTCTCATACCACGGGGACAGCCTACCTCCTGCTATATGTTGACGACATAATTCTCACTGCCTCTTCCTCTGCACTCCTTCAGAGCATCATTCAAAAACTCAAGGCTAAGTTTGCCATGACGGACATGTGTGACTTGCATTTCTTCCTCGGCATCAATGTTCATCGCACTCCCACTAGGATGTTCCTCCATCAAACTCAGTTTACCCACGACATCCTGGAGCGGGCAAGGATGGTCTCTTGTCGCCCCATCTCTACGCCAGTGGACACCAAGACGAAACTCTCCTCATCAGCTCGTACGGAACTCCCAGATCCGACGCTGTATAGATCCGTTGTTGGAGCCCTGCAGTATCTCACCTTCACTCGATCGGACATCACATACGCCGTCCAGCAGCTGTGCCTTCATCTCCATGCCCCTAGAGACGCACATCTCACGGCCATGAAGCGCATTCTTCGCTACCTTCGTGGTTCGGCCACCCATGGCATTCACTTGACACGATCCAGTACATATTTTTTGCAGGCTTATTCTGATGCGGACTGGGCCGGCTGTCCCGACACTCGGTGCTCCACCTCCGGTTACTGCGTGTTCTTGGGCAACAATCTGGTCTCCTGGTCGTCCAAACGCCAGGTCACCACGTCCCGATCCAGTGCAGAGGCTGAATACCGGGCTGTGGCCAATGCCGTTGCAGAAACTTCGTGGATCCGAAATCTTCTCCTTGAGCTTCAGCAGCCCCTACGACGTGCCACTCTCGTGTTCTGCGACAACATCAGCGCCGTCCATCTATCATCCAATCCAGTGCAGCACCAGCGGACCAAGCACGTGGAGGTCGACATACATTTTGTCCGCGACAAAGTTGCACTCGGTCAGGTTCGCGTCCTTCATGTGCCCTCCTCTTCCCAGTATGCTGACATATTCACCAAAGGACTGTGTTATACCCGGGCCTGGCCCTATCATACCCTCCCCCATGTCCTACACCCTCGCAAAAACCAGAGGACTTAAGTTCAAGCATTATGATCCGTTTTAGTGAGAATTCCGAGTCCTTCAACCCAAGAGGCCAGGATAGCTTCGGACCCGAGGGTTCCACAGGCCAACCCCCACTCTGTCCAACCCAACCCAAAATATCCAAAACTCCTTGCCATTTACTTCATTTCAAAATAAAGTTTTTTTTTTCCTACTCTTATTTAAGCCCCTGGCCAAAAATAAGGTTGTGTAAAATAAAACCTTTTGTTTGTTGTTATTTTTCTTCTTTTAAGCCTTTTGTTCAACAAATAAAACCCACCCTCTATTCCATTCACCCCTGGCCAAAATACACTTCACAATCCCAACATAAACACCCACAAAGAGCCAAAACCCGAACCCACCACTAGCCACTCATTCCTGCCCATATTCCCTCACAAATAATCCAAACCTATAAGTCCAAAATCACCCATTATAGCCCCCATCCCTGCCCCCTTTTCTCAGCAAACACAACCCCTCATTTTACCCAAATAATAGCCTTAAAAAAACCAGGAAACAACCACTACAAACCAAACCTCAAAACACCACAACCCCAGCCTCATCTCTGATTTTTATTCCACTTTGGAGACATGATTCAATGGGTATTATCCCATGTTTTTGAAATAGTTGCTTCCAGGAAGTTTCCTCATGTTTTGTACTATGTATTTCCCCCTTCCCCTCTCCCTATATAATCAGGCCCTATGGCCATTGTAAAGACAATCCCTGAATATTGAAAATCTTTTACTCTTTGAGTATTATTAAAATAGTGTGATGCTATTTTAGCCAAATTCCTAATTCTATATCTTAAGAGTGGTTATCTTAAGTGTGAGTTTTAGGTTCTAGATATTTAATTAAGTGTGTCATATCTTAATTAAATTCTAGATTCAAACCCCAAGTTAGGATAAGAGTGTGTAATATCTCTCAAACACCAACTTGGTTTATCCATCCCTGATTTTTTTCTTCCATTTCATATCCCCCCATTCCTCCTCTTAATCTCACTCTTTTCTTCCAATTAAAATACCCAAAAGAACTCCCTCATCAACTCCATATATTTCCAGTCCATTCCCCCACAAAAACACCCTTCTTCCTGCCCAGAATTCTGCCAAATAATCGATTATCATTCCCCACAATCGATTATCAATCCCATTGGAAACACCTGCAGGGCTCAATAATCGATTATCCCTTTAAGATAATCGACTATCCGCTTCCCCAGAAATTCTGCAGCTTTCAATCGATTATCTCCTGCTCCAGAACCCTGAACTCAAAGCTGAATCATTTCTTGATTCCTCCTCAAAATAGCAACTCGTTTAGACCCCCGGTTCGGGCCTAACAGACTGCCATCTCTGCTCTTCCTCGAGTTCAAATCCAGCCTGGGAATTCGACCTCCTCCACATCCGACGTAGCCGGGAGCATGCTAAATATATTAATTATATTTACTATCTTTGTAATCATTATGTTACCATATCTGTATAGACTTCCTAATATGGCTCTCCTACTATGATTAGGATTGAAGCCTCTACTATATATTGGTGTAACCTCAACACAATTATTCAATGAAAATATTTCTTCTTCATATACCCCATAAGCTGCGAGTGCGCTCGCTATCCGAAGGAATAATACATGACGCATTCTGAAGTGCCGATGGAACTGGTAATCAGCAAAACGGGGAACGTTTGAAAAATAATCTCTAAAGAAACGGCGAGGTGTCGCAGCTTGTCGAGTGATTTCATTTTGCATCTCCGCTTGGACGAAAGGCAAATACTCATGGTTTTCTGCAATTACATATCCACGACCTCATCATTTGTTGGAGGAAGAACCATTTTTTTATTTGAGAAAGATGAAGAGAAATTAAGAAAAGAGGTAAATTGAGAAAGATGAGAGTGGATGGATTGAAGTGGAAGATGTGTATAATCTATAGGGTTAAAAATTAAAAAAAAAGAAAATCAGATTGCGGTGTGGTGGACCGCTGCAGTGGACGACCGCGGTAGAAATCTACTGGAAAATCAATCCAGCTCTACGCCGCAGTTGAGGTGTGCGTCGCGACATTTTTTGCACCTGTCGCCTTGCAATGGGAAGCCGGTGCTCGGCATTCTGCTCCAACCCGGCTTTCTCCCCTCCCATTGTAAGTGCCCTAACATTGCAGGTGTGTTGGCCTAGTGTAGAAAACAAGGGGATATGATGATGTGTCATGGGTTGAGGCATGACGAGAGTCTGCCACATTGTTACTACTCTTAGAGCATGTCTAATAGTACTCCATATATTCAGTTTTTGAGTTGTATATCCTCTAATAGTAGTCCATTTTGAATTGCAAGACGAGTTTTGCAATTTTTTGAGTCTAAATATGGATTGTAGTTTGGGATATTCCATTTTCTTTATATAATTTATAATAATTTTAAAATTTTCAAAGTATAAAAAGTAATTAGAAAATATACTACGAAAATGTTATTTTTCATTTTGGTGAAATGAGTTGGAGATGATTATTACTCTCCTTTCAATAATTATCTTTCCATTGCACGTTATTTTTTATTGAAATTATTTTCAAATCATTTTATATGAAAATGGCGAGGAACTAAAAAATAAATATTATTTTTTAAAAAATTATATTAAAAGTTCTACAAAATATGAGTAACATGACTATATTATTTTACCAAATAAACAATAAAAATAGGCCAACAATTTATATAAAAATTTGATCACGAGAATATAATTATTGAATGGAGGAAGTATATAATGTATTTTAGGTTTGAGTTTGATGTAAATAGTTGATTAGTGGCTTTTGATTTTGAATAGCTGCATCTTCTTCAAGCAATCGATCTTTACATAACATCTCTGTGAATAAGCCCTGCAGATCTATGGCATCTCCTATCTGTTCTGTCTTCTAATTAAAGATGGCGCAACCGAAGAAAAATTTCAAGAATTTGATCCCACTCCCCATCCTCCTCTCTCTCTCCGCCCTCTTCCTCTTCACCTTCTCACCTTCCACGCCGTTCACCGCTCACCCCGCCGCCCAACCCAACCTCCAGACGTCCACCACCACCACCACCGCCGACAACAAGAACTTCACATTCATCATCAAACTTCTCACTTACAACCGTCTCTCCTCACTCACTCGCTGTCTCAGCTCCCTTGCCGCCGCCCACTACGACGGCCACGCTGTCCACCTCCACATCTTCATCGATCACTTCCCAGTTCCCCCGAACGGTTCCCTCTATATCGACCAGAATCTCAATTCTTCGAAGGGGATACTGGATTTTGTTGATGGTTTTGCTTGGGAACTCGGCAGCAAAGTGGTGCTCTACAGGACTTCTAATGCTGGTCTGCAGGCACAGTGGCTAGAGGCATGGTGGCCTAGCTCAGACGATGAGTTTGCCTTTGTGGTAGAGGATGATCTTGAGGTCTCGTCTTTGTACTTTCGTTTTCTGAAGAATCTGATTATGCATTATTACTACAATGCTTCGAATTTCAGTCCGATCATTTTCGGGGCATCCCTGCAGCGCCCGAGGTTTGTGCCAGGTACTATGCTGTTTGAGCTTGTTCTTAATTCAGCACAAATTACTTTGCGGGATCACACCTATTCGTAAACATGACAAGCCATCTTGCAATTGTTTTTTTAATTTAAAATATTTGAATTTGCTATGTGCTGGTTTATATATTGAGGGAAATAGTAAGTGTGAATGCCTAAACGGGGTACACTACACAATAACAGCTTGAGCATCAACTGAAAACTGAAAAGTCGTAGTTTGATAATTTTATGTGTCATGTGGTAGCATTTTTGTTTCATGTCTTGTTTTGACTTTCTTGAAATTAGAAACTAGGAAGTATCTTCAACAGTAGTTATTTGTTTTCCAGGTTTTGAAAAACAAATACAAATATTTAAAAGTTTTTGGAAACAGTTATTTGCCGCACTTCCGTCATCTCTAATGGAGCCAAAGATTCACTATTTTTTTAACTTTGGGGTATGATGGAATAAAGCTAAATGACTCTTTCAATAGTGAAGTTGCGGCTAGTCAATGCAACTTTCGACGCTCATCATGGGTCATCTAGAAGGAGTCGCTCTATGTTTTAAACATAGGGATCAGGCGTACATCCCCCTTACCCCGCAATGGGCGTGAGCCTTGGAGGCACTGGGGTAATGTTGTTGTTGGAATCAAGTATTTGCCGGAGGCTAAAATATAGAGTATTTGAAAGTTTTAGGCAACTAGTACTCCGTATTTGAACTTCTTACCCATGCAAAGAATAAAGAAGAAAGGTTGTTCTTGATGCATTGCTGCATTTACTACATAGAAAGTAAGAAGGAAAGTTCAATGTGCCATTTTGTTTTAGTTCATTATTTGTCTGAAACTAAAACATTGTAAATAATGACTTATTAAGCTCCTTTGGTAATGGATAGATACTTGAACTTAAACAAAAAGTTCATCCCTAAGAGGATTTACAGCTCTGATGCTTCCCACGAGATCTTTAGTAAAGCAACAATGGCTCCAAGAATAAATGCATTGCTCGTGATGAGGTGGAGATCGTTGGAGGGAACATTTGCTTCTTGAAGCACCAAGGCTTCCCTTATTTTTTTTGAATGTATGTATGCATAAAATGGAGTAAAAAAATGATAATTTGGGTTTATTTTGGAGTGCATGAATGAAATTTGGGTTGAAGTTAAAAATTGCTTTAACTGAAAAAAGTAGGAATAAGTGATGTGTACATGTGAAACCTGCAAAAAAGAACAAAAAATAAGGAAGAACCTTTCTGGAAGAACTTAGCAATGCAGATGCTCTAAGTTCATGTCTCAATTTTTATTCCGTTGCTTAATACAGTGCTCTTTGCTTATTTGGTAGATGTAAAAGTCGAACTTTATCTGACCAGCCTCATTTAATTTCTCACCCACCACCGTTGATCATTTCCAATCTCATATCACAAGGTCATTCTTGGAAGTAAAAGATAAAGCATTTGATTTTATAATTATTGTGCAAGGATGGGTGCATATACCATATTCACATATAAAAAACAAAACATATTGGCCTAACATGTACTTTAGGAATTTCAAAGTCAAACAAGAACAACTTTGAAAGCAGACTATACAAATCACATAATTGAAATGTTAGCAAATTAACCCTGTATTCAAGATATGGAACTTTTGTTGTGATTTGCGAGTACAAAACCAAAGATATAGTTCAAGTCCATAACCATAACGCATAGAACTCAAGTGCACTTCAGCATATGTACTTTTTTGCGTTCTGACACAAGTGTCAGCATTCTGCATGGTGAAAGTGTGGACATTAGTGTTTTGGAGCTTCTTCTTGCATGGGTCTATTTCATGTAGTCTTATCATATGTGACATAGGAGAGAGAATACTCAGAATAGATGAGATGATTATTTTAATCTAATTTTTTAAATCTAATAGGAGTGAAGAGAGGTGTGGGAACAAATGAGAAAAGAGAGATATAGAGGCATTAGTGTTTTTTTTTTTAAAAAAATAAACCAGAGAACATGTCCTATTTAAAACAGTTGTGAGATAAAAGTTGTCCCATATGTAAGAGACCAATCAAAATGGACCGCGCATTGGAGATGCTCTTACCTCCTTTGAATATGGAGACCACTTTAACATTAGTGCTATTGTCTTATTGATAAAAGCACACACATCTGGCACAATTGTACAGACTACAAACAAGTATTTGCAGCTCCAGTATGGTATATGTGGTGTTGCTCTCTGCTGTCCTAGGCTTATACATCATATACAGAGATATCTTCTTCTTTATTTGCCATTGCTTAAACAAAATTGTAAGATTTTGATACGTCATTAATCGCTTATGTCAATGCATAGTTTTTTTGGGATCATATTTCTACCTTTGTTAATAAAATCTTTATGGATTTTGTGTGTGCAACTGTACATATTTAGATGATACCACCTGTGTCACGTAGAATGCCAACTTCTTATACATTTCTTATTTTCTATTGTGACTTTGTTCAAACAACACTTCTCAGGTCTTACTGTCATTACATTTAATATGTGCTTATAGTGTTATACTTTTATCATTGGTATGAATTAGTTATGACCAACAGGTAAGCATGGAAACAAAATGGAAGTAGATAGTAGAACTCGGGTCTTTCTGTACCAGTTGGTTGGAACATGGGGTCAACTTTTGTTTCCACGACCTTGGAAAGAGTTCCGTTTGTGGTATGACACACACAAATCCAAGGACATTAAGCCTTTTCTCGATGGGATGGTAATGTATGCTGCATCCTCTATATGCCTTCATTCTCTGGTTGGTGGTAGGATTTTGGAGGTGTTTGGAGAGACAGGTCCCGAAAGGCTTAGTCTATATCTTGATATAAATATTTGAGATTTCATAAACAAAAATGAAATTATTACTAGATCATATAACATATTAACATTTCAATAATGTTTTATTCAGTTTTAAACACATTGTATTTATCAAGATATAGACGAAGCCGTCCTAAGCCTTCCCTTCAAACCCTTCAAAAACCTTCCATCCAGACAGATCCCAAGTGGATGGCAATGCAGTTTGGCATTATCACTTTATAAACTGTTGGCAGGTTACAACCGGATGGTACAAAAAGATGGGAGAAAGAATATGGACTCCTTGGTTTATTAAATTCATTCATGCTCGTGGCTATTTCAATATCTATACAAACCTTTTGCATGAAAGAGCACTCAGTGTCTCACATCGTGATGGTGGTGTAAACTATGGGAAATCAGCGGGACCAGATTCTAATTTAGTTAGTGAGAATTCCATTGATGCCAATCACTTGGAATTGCACCCTTTGCATAGCATGAATTGGTATGATTTCTGCTTCAAACGAGTTTTTCCTGATAGGATTGTACAGAATTTCAATGAACTTGGGTCCGTTCTCCCTTCTCTTCAGAAACTGAGTAACATTATACTTGTGAGCATACATCAGGAGCCAGAGTCTGTTGTAAGGAACTTGCTCTGCCATTTTGAGAGACAACATATTCAGAACTACATTTTAATGGGCCCCAAATCTGATCTCTTACTTGATCTTGCAAGAAGAGGGCACCCTGTGATTGACTCCGGCAGAATTTATGACAACATAAGAGCTTTTGACAATTCTACCCTTGAGTTGAGTAAGGAAATTTTTATCAAGTCCTATGTGGTTAGAAAATTTTTGGAACATGGATTTAGTATCATTGTGACAGATGTCAACCGGCTTCCCCTAAACAATGATTCCTACCTCAATTTATTTGAACTTGACAGAGCTTATGACTTCTTCGTGGGAAAGAACTTTGAATTAATCCTTGTTAAGAGTTCCTCTTCTGCCTTGAAAACTTGGAATGATAATGTCTTGACCGGGTTAGGCAATGATGTGATTTCAACCTCATCAAACAGTTCAGTTCCAACTGGGAAAGATTTCGTCTACGTGGTTAAAAAGTTGTTTGAACAGAAAAGAGTAAAATTCTACACCTTTGATGAAAACAGCTCTAGTTTAAATACCAATTCCTTAAACGCTACCCATATGTCTATACGAGATGATGCAAGATTTGTGTTTTGGTCATCGGAGGTGAGTTCAGATCTGATTCAGCAACAGCTTGTGCATTTAGGTCTGTGGGTTGTTGATTCTGATATGTCTTGCACTTCAATCATTTGCTACCCTTCATAACATGTGGTAGCATTAGCACTAAGACATCCTTTGGCGACTCCACGTCGTCCCACATTTGTAATGCACGCTCTAAATGGCAAAATGATCATTGAGTATGGCGGCAACTGCCAATTTGGTCACTATGGAGTTTTGTGTGACAACTGTTAATACAGTTTCAGGTTATCAGTTGGCACATTTAAATGCGGGGCCCAACGGGGAATTGATGCACTGGTCTTGATATCTTCTTGGTCCTCATCTAACAATGCACTATTGTTGTACTCTTTTTCTTATTCTTTTGTGATGGGAATGCTTGAATAACGGGTCATTGAGTTTGTACTCGATTTGTTTGTTTATCAGGGGAGATAGCGACCATAATTATAAGATTCCTGCATCCAAGCAGGGATAATAAAAGTTTAGTCGTTTGTCTGGTGAAAAACGATACGGAGTAGTAAAATAATAGTACTCAGGTATTAAATATTTGGATAAATCAATTTGTATCCCAAAGTTTTACATATACATTTTGTGTCAATTAACTTGATATTTTAATTAAAGAGAGTAATTAAATTGATATTTAATTAAAAAGAGTAATTAACTAGAAAAACTTAGAACAATCAAGAATCAAACAGAATAATAGTAATAATAGAATTAATTCAATCAATGATTTAGAAGCAGATATGAATTGAACAAGTATATGGACTAAGGTAATAATTTTAGATTAAATTAGCTTCTTGATTAATTAGATTTTAATTCATTAACTTTTCTTATTTCTAGGCTTCATTAATGTGTCTAAATATGGTTGGCTAGATTAGTTTCCTAACTCATAGAAAAGCCGGACTAATAATCTCCAATGATTAATTAATAAATTGGCCAAATCTATTAATTAGTTAATCTCATTTTAGACAAATGATCAAATTAATCAAGTCACTAATTTAATTTTAATTAATTATTTTAACCCATATCTTAATTCAATTAATACCTTAATATAAATTTAGCCACAAAATGCCATAATCACAAACAATTCAAAACAAATTACACAAAGAAATAATTTTTATTATAAGAGAGAAGTTCAAAAGAAAGCTTACAGATCTTGACGAATTGAGTACAAATCTGAGAACTCTTACAATCAAAGCTTAAGGGCTCTAAGAGGAAAAACTTGTGTTAAAATGGAGAAAAGGAAGAAGAATTTTGGATGATGGAGAGGGAAAACCGAGGGGGGTATATATACCCAGGCAGACGTCACAAGCTGGCAGACAGGCGATCGCCTGTCAGCCCGCCACCACCAACTTTGAGACACTCTGGATCGGAGAAGCTTCAGGAACATCGACAGGCAGGCAAGCAGGCGGCCGCCTGCAGGCCCGCCGGAGCCCAATCTGTCCGCCAGAGCACAGATAAGCCGCCTGCGCCATCATCGCTAGGGCTGTTTATGTTTAGATCCGGACCGAAAAAAACCGACCGAAATGGACCGACCGAATGAATTTTGGGTCGATCTTTGGTCCTAGAATTTTAGGATTTCGGGTATCAATCCGGTCCGGTCCAGACTCGAAATAATTTCGATCCGGACCGAAATAACCGAATGAAAGTAGTACCTCTGTAAATATGTAACCCGTATATGTTTTATTATTTCTCGGGCAATACTCTATTTTTTATGCGGTTCAGATTTAGATGCATATATCCTCCTCGTCTTTCTGCTTCCTCCCATATTTAGGCTCCGTTCCGTTCAACTTATTTTTTCTGATCTGATCTGATTCTAATAAGTTCTGATCTGATCTGGTCTGATCTGATCTGATCTGATTGGATCTGATCTGATTGGATCTGATCTGATCTGATCTGGTCTGATCTGATTTATTATGATTTAATTTAAAATTTCAAATCAATAATTTAATTTGACTTTATAATAACGTTTGAAAATTGTAATGATAATTCATATTATAATATAATCAATATTTTTTATTTAATGATTCCTTTTTAATAAAATAAAAATAGTTAATTCATATATTAGAATAATCATTCATATTATAATGTAATAATATTTTTTATTTTATGATAATTTTTTTGTAAAATTAGAATTATACATTGGAATAAATATTTAATTTAGATATACATTTAAAAGTAATTAAATTTAGATAATAAATATATAGAAGAGATAGTATTTTTATTAAAATATCTCATCCTTATAAAAGATCAAAAGTTTAGAAACTCAAATTACAAGTAGCAATAAAAATATATTTTAAAAGTAGAATTAGATTGACATTGTCAATGTATTTTAAAACTAATTTTTTCGACGTCTAATAATTAAGGATTACTTTCTCAGCTTTTTATTTAACCTATTTCTAAAGTTTATTCTTTTTCATTTTTAAGAACAATAATAATAATAATAATAATGATGATGATGACGATGATGATGATGATGATGATCATAATAATAATAATAATAATATAATAAAAATAAAAATAAAAATAATAATAATATAATAATAATAATAATAATAATAATAATAATAATAATAATAATAATAATAATAATTCTTGATGAGATCTTATTTTAATAAGTCTTGATCTGATCTGATTTGATTGGATCTGATCTGATTTGATTAGATCTGATCTGATCTGATTTGATTAGATCTGATCTGATCTGATTCGATCTGATCTGATCTGATCTGATTCGATCTGATCTGATCTGATTCGATCTGATCTGATCTGGTCTGATCTGATCTGATTTTAATAAGAATAAGAAAAAATAAGAAAAAATAAGTTGAACGGAACGGGGCCTTACTCCCATCTCTAAAATTCGTTCTTCTCGCTTCAGCATCCGACGACCAGAGGGTGACGACGTTGTGGTAAGGTTGACAGCTTTGTTCCCCATCAAATTGTAGGTTCTCAGATTTTGAAGAAGTAGAACCCTAGAAACACCTAGAACTCAAATTTACAAATTCTCCGATATGGGATTCTCAACAATTTGAAGAAACCTAAAGCAAAAACAAAACAAAGGGAAGACACTTATTTTTTTACTTTTCTGAACTTCTTCTCTACAAATTTTATTTTCTGATGATGATGATTGGGGGAGAGTCAATTGGGGGATAATTTGTTGACCATTTTTTTTTATTTCAGTGTCATTACTGGAATTGCTTCCCTTCCATGTTTTCCAATTGGATTCCTGAGGATTTGAGGAAAAACATCATTAGTGTAAGCATACTATGAAGTTTGGCCATTTCATTGCTGGTTTCCGACATACTGCAGGCAGTGCAAGGTAGGTCTTTTTCGGTCCAATCGGTCCGAATCAATACGGTCCAACTCATTTTTGGTCTGGTTCGGTCTAAGACCAATTACTAATAGGTCCGGTCTTCGGTCCAAGATTTATCTTATTTCTGTCTTCGGTCCGGTCCAGTTCGGTCCGGTTTTGGACCGATGAACAGCCCTAATCATCGCTGTTTGAACCGTGTTGACAGGCGGCCGGGTAGGCGGCCGCCTGCCTGGTCGCTTGCCGTCTTTTCGAATCCTTCAACACTTGTTGCATGAAATTCGATTTTGAACACTTTCCCCTCTTGCTCCAACTTCAAATTCCATTCGAATAGGAAGATATAACTAATTTCTTGTTGAAATCAAACTTTTTTTTATCTTTTCATGGCCCATTCAATTTTACTGCTCTAAACATAAAAATATAATTTTTACTTGAAAAATATTCTTTAATAAGATGAAAAATTATTCTTATATATAAAACATGTGTTAAATGTGAGGATAAAATTATGTATAAAACAAGTTTATCAATCTCCTCACATTTAAACTTTGCTTGCCCTCAAGCAAAAACAAATCAACAAAGAAAAGGAATGACATGATTAGCTATCAAAACTCATAATTCTTGAGAGAAACACAAAGTTAAATAATCATATATCTTTCTCTTACATCCAGCAATTCCTTGACTTATTCTCTTTTTATTTAAAAAACTAACTTGTTTCTTAAATCTTAAGGAGATGCACAAGATTTCATTCTCTAACCAATTCCCAAAGGATTAAAATCTAATAGCCTTTGGACTTAGGGAAGTCACACCTCTATCTTGACTTAGTTCAATTAAATCCATGAGTATCCCACAAATGTCCTAAGGATATTGTTATTTATAATTATTAATTAATTCTCCTGGGACAGAGCTCTGTGGGAGATAGAATACTCTCTTATAATGCTAATAGACTATCGAGATTGTGGGTTTATCCCATTTTACTTGCATACTTGCTCCCTCACCTTATGTGATTCACGAGAGAAGCAGAGCTCCTTTACGGAGATAGGATTCCCAATTCGTCACTTAAGCGCAATCTCAATAGTCATTATAATAAGTTATTATTAGAAAACGATGACAGAGGAGAAATTCCAAAAATCCAAACTACTAGTTATTATTCCCCAACTTTCTCAACCATTAAACCCACTTGTGCATCACTTAATGAATAAGAAACAAGTTAATTAATTAAATAAAAGAAAAATTTAGCAAGGAAATGAGAAAGTAAGAAGAAAAAATGACTACAACCAAGTGTGAATCAAGAGTTACCAAAGTAAGACAACAAATCATACATGATACTCGAACTCTACCTCCTCACACTTAAATTGGACTACGTCCTTGTAGTCCAAATGCAAGATATGAGTCAAGAAACAGGGCTAACATTCCTCCACACACTTGAAATAAACAATAAAGTGCAAGCATTAATCCATAAAAGTTTGCATAAATAAATTAGAGTAGCAAAATAAACAAGCCAAGTAAAAATAAAAATGTTTATAGTCAACAGAAATTAAAAACATCTCCAGTGGTGGCTGGCTCTGGAGGAAGGAGCTGTAGGTGCAAACTTCTTACCAAGCATCATCTCGAGCCCTAGCAGCTGCTCGGTGTTTGACTCTAGACGCTCATTCATCCTCTTAAATTGCATCGTGTGGGACGCAAACTCTGTCTCCATGACATCCCTCGCGTCCTGGACGTTAGTCTCCAGAGAGTTCATCCTCGTGTTAAGCTTCCTCATCTCCTCTAAGATGGACTGAAAGATGGAAGGATCAATGCCGCCTTCTGAAGCTGTGTATGTCCCGGGATGAACGGAGGAAGAAGAACCCCCATCCACGAACATCCCTATAGTGGCATCTGGAAGAGGAGAATGGACAGTGGTATCAAGCCCATCAAAGAAATCAAGTGGCGGCTCGTCAATGTCCTCTACTCGATGCCTCTTCGCCATCCCCATCTTCGTGAGAGATGTGGTGCTCAAAGGACGAATGCTCAAGTCAATGGGCAGTAGATTACCCGACATCTCGGGTAGAAGGGAACGTGCAAGGCGAGAAACAAAAGGTCCGGCCTGAATAGTCTTCCTATGGCTTTTCCCCTGAAGAAGGAAAAAGTGAGCCATGAAGACAGCTAGGTTCACCTGAACCCTCTCTACCAAACTCTAGAAGAAATAAATGTCCTTCATGCCGATCCGATTTGAGTTAGTCGGACGGCCGAAGAGACCATGAGAAAGCATGAAGCTAAGTATGCTCCAGGCACTTCTCCTCTACTGGCGGGTATGCGTTGTGTTCTTGTTAAACGACGTCGTCGACAGAGAATGCTACTGCCAGAACTGCTCAACACTGGACTCTGAAGGCAATGAATAAGGAAGAGCAGCAAAGACAAGTGAGCGTGCTTCCTCCTCAGTGTATATGCCCAGACGATGCCCAAACTCGGCCATGGAAAGGGTGAAGGCTCGACCAGAAAGTGAGAACGTCAAGGTGGAATCAGGCCTGACATCAGCTGCATCCTTAATAGGTCGTCCACCATGCGGACACTGGTAGGTGCAGAGAAACTCGATTGTCAACTCAAGACTGGACTGCTCTGCAAAGGTGAGCATTGAGCAAGTAACGGCAACGAGAGTCTGCCAACAGTCCATTGATCTCCTCCCAGTGGTTCCACTCCTCTAAGGTTGCCTGATCAAGGGAAAGCGGCCCTAGAAGAGTTTTCTTCTTTTCCTAGGTGCGAAAACCCTTACGGGGTTCTCCTGATGGTAAGCGCATCTCGTATGTAGCTGGCAACGTGACATTGAGAACCTCCTCCTCGTAATCCTCCTCAGCCTTCTGTAAACCAAAACACAAACAAAGACATAGCAACACAAATAAAGTGAAGAATAAAAAATTACAAAGCAGTGTGAATAGTAAAACATATGATTGGTGGCCTCCCGTTTAGCGCTAGATTTAATGTCGCTAGCTCGACGAAGTCAAACTTTAACATCAAAATTCTCGGAAATGAAAAACTTTTGTATCCTTCTAAAGTATCATCCACGACAAATCTTCAACTCATGATCATTAACCTTGATTCGTCCTCGCTGAAGATCTTTAATCTCAATGGTACCATAAGGAAAAACCCGTGTGACAGTGTAAGGACCTGTCCATCTAGACTTGAGCTTTCCTGGAAAAAGCTTAAGTCTAGAATTGTACAACAATACCTTATCTCCTACATTAAATTCACGATTCGCTTTAATAAACTTATCGTGATAAATTTTCGTACGCTCCTTGAGATAGTCATTGTTCCTAAAGGCTAAAGTCCGCCATTCGTCAAGCTCATATAATTGGTAATAACGCTCTCCCAGTAGTAGTTGGATCAAGGCACACATTCGTAAGTGTTAGAAAGCATTTTCACATTGATGTGTTGACAATGCTTGTTTCCGTTCAGGTTTTGATATTGACAAACCGTCGGAAACATGGGACAAAATGAAAAGATTCAAAGTCATAGCAAAAGCTCTTCGAAGGAACAAAAAGCACAAGAAAGGCATTGCCGTTTCGAAAGACGACGAGATTGGCGTTTTGAAGACGTTGTCTAAATACTTAGGTTTTTATTGTAACAAGTTCATTCAATTTCTCTAAGTCATGGCTCAAAACAAAATCTGTTTTTCATGCATCAAATGCTTGTAGGATCGTTTTCTGGAACTTCCAGAGGGTCACCCATCCTAGGACTACTCCCGTTCCAGCACACTTAACTACAGAGTTCCGAAGTTAAATAGGTGCCAAATGCTTCCTAAAATCAATTGGTAATAGGAATATGGACACTTTATATTTAACCACATCTCTCTGTAGCCCCAAGCTGAGGTTGATTCCTATAGGGCACCCCCTATAGTTTACTACAGCAGTGCGGAGCCCCACTTGTTATACCCGAGCCTAGCCCCATGAAACTCTCACTCACGCCTTACACTATCATAAGAACCAAAGGACTTATATTCAAATATTATGATCCATATTAGTTAAATTCAAAAGGACCTTAAAGGATAGAAGTCATAAAGTTGAATAGTGAAAATTTGTCCTTTTGTTGACTTATTTCACATCCTTGCACCCATGATCTTTCCTTGTCATTTCTTACCATATAGGGCCAAAATTCCTTACACAAAAATCAGGGAAAATCTCCTCTTAAACCCCACAATTCCCCACCCTTGACCTTAGATACTAAAGGCCGAATCCATCACACACAACAAGCCAAGGGACATTTCCATCACAGCCACTTAGTGTTCCCTGTTGTTTTCTTCACACATGGCCGAATTTCCTCCTTAAAAACAGGCCAAGAAACATCTCAAAATATCTCTCATTAGTGGCCGGATAATCATCACAAAACCAGCCAAAGGAGTCCATCATCTTAGTCATGAATTTAACTCATTTGGATGTTGATTTTGGAAAGGATTAAGAAGCTTCCTTGATTGTATTCTTTCTCCCTTATTATGTATATATAATTTCGGCCATAGGCCTTGTAAACCAGCATATGAATTAAATGAAAACTTTGTTTACTCTTTTGAGTATTCTCTTAAAATAGTGTGATGCTATTTTAGCCAAATTCCTAATTCTATATCTTAAGAGTGGTTCTCTTGAGTGTGAGTTTTAGGTTCTAGTTATTTGATTGAGTGTGTAATATCTTGATGAAATACTAGAGTTCAACCCCAAGTTAATCTAGAGGTGAATTTATCCTATAGTATTAATTTGGCTCCAAATTAAGATAAGAGTGTG